GGTCCAGTGGTTAAGATACAGGGCTGTCACACCAGGAGGACAGCTGGTCCAGTGGTTAAGATACAGGGCTGTGACATCGGGAGCTCACCAGGTTTTAGAATATACTTACCTGGGTTGAAAAGCACAAGATATTTGAGACACACAAACTCCTGTCTGTCCAGCTGCAGTGTCCGCAGTCTGGACACTAGGTCCTGTGCTCGAGACACCAGACTGGCCAAAGTGTCCCCCGCCTGGGACAGCACAGTGGACACCTCAATCTGAAATGGACAACATAAGGATTATAGAATTACATTTTCATTTATCAAGAAGCAGTTTAGTTCACTGATATGTTAAGCCAGTCACAAGCTAAAGGTCTGTATTTTATTGCAGCTGGGTTACTCAAAAACAAGACCTTCCATTGCAGTGCAAGTCTTTGCCAAGACATCTGTTTAATTATGTAATTCAATTTAATTATTGTGTTGATTTAAAAAAATAGCCATTTGACCTTAAATCATGAGCTGGCGTGGACAGGGTGCGGCAGAACTTGACATCCCCTGAGTCAGTGCAGTACAAGCAGATAGATGAGACCTAACCTATATGACTACCTTTGCGTTGGCCCCCTCTTGTGGCCATCTTCTAAAACTGCATTTAAAAAATAAACTCGATAACTTTACATTATAAGCTATAAACCTTTAAAGCAGGGGTGCACAACCTTTTTTAATGCAAGATCTACTTTTTCATTTGCCAGTCCAGCGCGATCTACTAGTGTGAATTTGAAGCTCTGATATAGGAAAAACAGACTGTGGGCACATCCGTACAATAACGATACCCATCACTAAAATTACAGTAAATAAAAGCTAGCGACTCATGCTACAGTGAACCAGTAATGTTCCCCATTTTAGAAAAAAGAATATCCTATCTTGTACACTGTGAGCATCGGCACTGAGACGCTTATTTGAGAACACTTGTGATTCTTTTTTTGAACGTGTTGACACTGCTGATCATGTCGATGACATTTTTATTTTGTCCCTGCAGCTCGACATTCAGCTCATTCAGCAGTCCAGTCCAGTCTGGGAGGACTGCTAAATCCAGAGGCCACTGGTCATCCTCTAATCGGGCATATTCACCGTGTTTAGACGACTCGGGGAGCTCTTTGATTTCAGGCAACAGCTGTCTGAACCTCGCCAACCATGTTTGTTTTTGAAATCTCCAAACTGCAAGTCAGCTGCCTCAGTAAACGCCTTTTTTTATGACTTCTCGATCCCTGAACGACTTATTGTGTTGAGCCGCGTCTCACACGGAGCGATGCGATGATTGCCGCTTTCCCTCTTGTATTAGGCCTCGTGAAAAAACAACGGCTGCTAGTTGACATTTGATTTTTTCCGCTTTTCTTTTCCGTAACTCCACACCACTCGTTTTGTGTGCAGTTTTGAAACGTTGTTCTATAATCCCCCCTTTTCGCGTAGACTCTACCATCGCAGATTTGAATGCGAAAGTACAAAAAAATAATCATGCTCCCATTCCTTGTGAGTTTTCGGTCTGTTTGCTTAATCATTTTCGCTCAAACACTACAACTATCAAATAGGCGTTCAAACTTAGCGAATGTGGGGTTCGTGCGGCAATAACCAAGAGAACGTTCTTGAGTCACACACAACGCTATTTACGGAGCTCCTCTGGCCTTTTTTTCAGTCAGCCAGCACTCAGGGAAGAGACTTTTACAACCCATTCGACAAGGGTTACACACACACACACACACACACACACACACACACACACACACACACACACACAGGGCAGTAAAATGGACGACATTACACGCACAGATCTGAATGAATTTTTAGGCTATCGAAAAAAGTAAATAGTCAAATAGCTCATTTATTTTTTACCAAACATTCTGGCGATCGATCGGCTGGTTGGGCACCCCTGCTTTCAAGTAAGGAGGGAGGATAAAAACTTTCAGCACTTTCACTGATCAAATCTGAATACTTATTCCCACTATCAATATTGTATATGTGTATCAAAAGATTCTAGCCTGTGGCTCTAAAAGTGATCACAGCTGCCCGGCGCCCTTACAAGACCCTTGTATCCCAGCATGAGACAGGGCGACTTGCCCAGCTGCTCTGACTGGTGCTGCTGCTGTTGCTATTGCCCATGCGGCGCCATTAGTACCTGTTGCCCGGTAACCAGGTAGATGCTGCCTTCTTTCCCATAAGCCACCTGTCTGTAGAGGTGGTCGAGCACCAGCAGCTCACTCCAGCAGCCCTGCAGCAGGGCCATCTGCTCCTCCACCTGAGAGAGAAAGAGAGAGAGGGAGAGAGAATTGCATTGATCAGCACACATCTGCACCAGCTCCTGTTCACTTTAAAAAAACACACAAGGGCTCCACACACTGGATCAGGAACGTGCAGGCGACACAGTGTTTCCTGTACTGTGTTCACGTAATAACGTGAAAAAGGTTTCGATCGAGAGGCTGTTCAGTCCGTCCAGCCTACAGCAGCCAGTAGGTAACTCATCCCAGGATCTCATCCAGCCTTTTGTTGAGAGAAGCCAGGTGACTGGCTTCCACCACCTAGCTGTCACGACCACCAGGCAGTCAAGACCAACTCTTAAGCGAGCTAATCAGCACCAGCAGCGGGTGATTATTAACAAACGCCGCCGCACGAGTTAAACCACCTGCACACACTCCACCGTGCGCAGTGCTATTTATACCATCTTCACCTGCTTCCCGCTGCTCGGTATTGAGTCTACTCCTTGAGAGCTCTACCTGGCGTTTTTTCCCGTACCTCGTTTATTCTGATTATTGGGCTCCCCTTCTGCCTTTTCGACTTTGCACCTCGCCTCTCGCCTCAGACTGTTTGCCAGCGGAGTTCTCCCTGGATTACTATTTGCCTTACGCCTTTTGACCACGACCTTGCCTCTCGTTTTGGATTGTTCACCTGCCTCTTCTATTACCCGTGCCTGCGTCTGCTCAGGATCCTTGTATCTTCCCACCAGGGATTCCTAACACTAGCTGGGCAGCTTGGTCCACACTCCCACAACCCTTTGTGTAAAGAAGCCCCTTCCTGTTCTGACTGGAGGATCTCATCCAGCCAGTTTTGAAAGAAGACGAAGGACAGACAGAGTGAGAGAGACAGGGAGTGTCACCATCGTACGCCCCTCCTCTTAAGAACGCTCCCGCCCTTCCTTGTTTGTGTTGATTTTTCCTGCACCTGATCCTGTTCCAGCCCCCTTCCTATAAAAGCCAGACGCTCCTACCAATCTGGGCTCAGCAATGGAAATGGACGCCCGGAAGCCCACCTACCAGCGAGTCCAGGAGGGGCTCGACAGCATTGGCTTCACCACGGCGTCCCGGCCATCTGGGTCTGGGTCTGGGAGCGCCCGGCCCCGTTACCTCTTTTATTTCCCCCGACTCTTCGCCAGATCCCGCCCCGGCTTTTAACTCCTTCTTGTTCGTCTTGGATTGATTACCCGGCTCTGAACATTTGCTCACCCTGGGATATTCTTATGGACCCCCTTCGGACTTGTTTGCCTGGACCACGCCCCCTCGAGCACCTGCGCACCTTGGACACGCCCCCCTGTTCTTCCAGCCCCGATCCTAGTCTTTTTTCCCCGTATTGTCTCACTCCCCTCTGGATTCTGCTGCCTGCATAGGGTCCTGAAAACCGCTTCGTGACAGGGAGACTGACCGCCTGTCCGTCCCCCCCGTACTGGACCAGCTGGACAGAGGGACGCGGTGCCAGGAACAGCGCGTCGAGGCGCCTCCCCCCGCCCCCTTACCGGCAGCTCCTTGAAGACGGCGCAGCTCCTCGCCCACTCCACCAGCCCCAGCAGCGTCTGCTCCGCCATCTTGCACATGATCCCGAAGGTGTTGAGCCGATCGTGTTTGCCCCGGCTCGCCTGCTCCCTCTGCAGGCAGGCCAGGATGCGGGCGCACAGCTGCGACTCCTCGGGCTCCCAGCGCAGCATCTCGGAGAGGCCGGCGGGCGCGGGGGGGCGCGGGAGGGCGGGCAGGGGAAATCGGGCTGGCGCGTGGCTGTAGAGCCCCTGCGGGGGGTAGCTCGGGTGGGCCGGGGGTTTCTCGTTCAGGACGGCTCGGGGGCAGAGGGTGTGCGCTGGTGCCGGGGCCTGCCCCCTGCAGAACCCCTGCAGCTGCGGCTGGGCGCACTGAGCGGCGGGGGGGGGCTCTGGGGGGGTGGGAACAGACGCCAGGGCCGCCTGAAAGCCGTGCGTCGCGCCGGACTGTCCCGCCGGGCTTTCCGCTTTGAACCTGCAGGGGGCGCTGTGGAGATCAGCCCGTTTCTGCTGCTTCAGCTGCCGGTCTCTCCGGTACAGGGGCCCGAACTTGTTGCGCCCCCCTCTCATCCTGTCGGCTCTCACCGCTGTGGGGTAGAGAACGGCGTTAGTGCCGACGCAAGCTCACAGGCTCACCCCCCTCCTCCCTTTCTCCCAGCCTGACTCGTCAGTAAAGACTCCCCCCCCCCCAGATCAGCAGAGTTTGCACCTCAGACACTGGAGAGGGAGAGCAGGAGAGAGAGAGGGATAGAGAGAGAGAGAAAGAGGCGAGGGAGAGCAGGAGAGAGGACAGGAGAGAGAGGGATAGAGAGAGAGAGAAAGAGGAGAGGGAAAGCAGGAGAGAGGACAGGAGAGAGAGAGGAAAGGGATAGAGGGATAGAGAGGGAGAGTTGGAGAGAGGGATAGAGAGGGAGAGAAAGAGGAGAGGGAATGAGGGATGGAGAGGGAGAGTTGGAGAGAGGACAGGAGAGTGAGGGAGAGAGGGATGGAGAGGAAGACAAGGAGAGAGAGGGAGAGAAAGAGGAAAGGGAGAGAGGGATGGAGAGGGAGAGAAAGAGGAGAGGGAGAGAGGGAGAGAAAGAGGAGAGGGAGAGAGGGATGGAGAGGGGACAGGAGAGAGGACAGGAGAGAGAGGGAAAGAGGGATGGAGAGGGAGAGAAAGAGGAGAGGGAAGGAGGGATGGAGAGGGGACAGGAGAGAGAGGCAGAGGAGTCACCCACCCTCCCTCCTCATGCCCACGCTCAGACACTTCTGGAAGCGGCAGTAGGGGCAGCGCTTCCTCTGCGTGGTGTCGATGGGGCAGCGCTGCCTCTCGGCACAGGCGTACTGCTTGTTGTTCTGCACCGTCCTCTTGAAGAAGCCCTGCGGGGACGAGCACAGGGGGGTTGCTGCTGGACGTCAACGCCTGTCTCGCAGGGGCAGGGGGGACGACAGGCGGAGAGTGTGGGAGGTTATGTAGATGATTGGGCCCCACAGTCTGCACTGATGCCTCTCGGCACTGGGGCCCGGCCCTGGGGTCAGCTCCTGGGGTGCTGTCTGTGTGGAGTTTGTATGTTCTCCCACTGTTCACATCGGTTTCCTCCCACAGTGCAAAAACATACTGGTAGATTATTTGGCCTCTGGGAAAACTGGCCTTGCTGGGAGTGCATGTCTGTGGCTGTGCGCTCTGTGATCGACTGGCGTCCTGCCTGGGGAGTACCCTGCCTGTGCCCGTTGCTTGCTGGGATAGACTCTGGCTCTCCTATTGACCCTGAGTTGGATGAAATGGTATGAATCTGGATGAAATGGATGTCAGTGAGAGTCTGTGTGCAAGATGGATTCAGGTGTCACCCCCCCCCACCTTATGCCAGCAGCCATATCATTCTGCAACTCACAGCAGGCAGCCCGCTGTAGCTCAGCAGGTGTGAGCCTGGTCAGTACCTGGGTGGGAGACTCCTGGGAAAGCTAAGGTTGCTGCTGGAAGTGGTGTTAGTGTGACCAGTAGGGGGCGCTCACCCTGCTGTCTGTGTGGGTCCTAATGCCCCAGTATAGTGACGGGGACACTATACTGTAAAAAGGTGCCGTCCTTCAAATGAGACTTAAAACCGAGGTCCTGACTCTCTATGGTCATTAAAACTCCCAGGACGTTTCTTGAAAAAGAATAGGGGTGGCTGCTGTCACCTCATCCAGGTGGGGCTGCACACTGGTGGTGGTGGAGGGGATCCCCATTACCTGTAAAGCACTTTGAGTGGAGTGTCCAGAAAAGTGCTCTAGAAGTGTAAGCAATTAATATTACCTTGCAGCTTTCACAGGTCAGCAGGCCGTAGTGGTATCCTGACACCCTGTCCCCACAAATCGGACACGATTCCTGAGGGGCCTCCAGCTTCACCGGCGGGGCTGTGGGCAGAGAACAAGCTGCACCATTCACTAGGAGGGGGCCTCTCTCTGTCAGACAGCCTGCTTCTGGCCAATTCACAGTGGGACCCTTCCTTCTGAAGATCATGGTTCCTCGTACCTGCTGTCTGAAATCTAACCCTTTCCCTTTCCCATAACTTCCTCATGGGGTACCACAACACTTCCTCTCAGCTCACCACAGTTCCCAGATAGAGAGCTGCTCAGAGAGTCATGTGACTGGAGAGAGCAAGGCAGCGATGTGCAAGAGAGAAGCTTGGAGTTTATGAGACAGTCATACACACTTCAACACACAGGCACATGTCCAGGTTTATAATCCCTCATTGTGCCTCTAGCCAGACAGCTTGAAAGCAACAGAATCCACAGAGATTTGACAGTCGGAGATTAGACAGACAGACAGGTAGGGACAGACATGGACAGGTAGAGACAGAGAGAGACAGGTAGAGACAGACAAGCAGGTAGGGATGGACAGATAGAGCCAGGGACACACAGGCAGGTAGGGACAGAAAGACAGGCTCAGGTAGAAACAGAGAGAGAAACAGGTAGAGACAGACAGGCACAGGAAGAAACAGAGAGACAGGCAATTAGGTAGGCACAGACAGGTAGGGACAGACAGGCAGACAGGTACAGGAAGAGACAGAGAGACAGACAGGTCCAGGCGGATCCCTGTCCCTGCTGCTCTGCTGTCCTGTGAAGGGCTGACTCCCCTCGGTACTCACATGCAGAAGAGGCCTCCTTCCCCAGAAACTCCTGGATGAAATCTCCGGGAAGGAAGGGCAGCTCCGAGGGCGGGTCCGAGGAAAAGACGCTCATTTCGGGAGAGAGCCCTGCCGCCGATCCCCCCCAAAGTCCGGGGATCTCACTGCGAGAGACGCCAGCCGAGGCAGCGACAGGGAGAGAGCGGGGAGAGGGGAGAGGTGGCTCCCAGTGCCTGCGCTCGGACTTTGCTCCGCCAGCAGGGTCATAAACCCGGCTCCCCACCCCGGGAACAGCTCCGCGCTCCCAGGAGAGGCCTGGCCTGCGGGCTGAGCAGCACAGAGCCCCGCGCTGGGCACGCACTGCAGATAAGACACCAGCCCCCTTAACCTCTTCCTGCTCGGCCCCGCTCAGAGATCGCGCTCCTATCTTCCCTGACAGCAGAGGCAGGGGTATCTGAGCTCTCTCTCTCAGGACTGGGCCCCACTCCCCATGTGAGGGCTTTTGGGGTGCCCAGAAAGCGAGGAACAGGCTCTGCACCGGGGGGGCCCTGGCGACGCTGTCTGTCTGACTGGGTGGTCAAAGAGCCCCTGATGGGTTTTTCTGAAGACACACGATTCCGCTCAGAGGAGGCTCTCTCCTCCTGGGCCCGTGTTTCTACGGCAGGCGAACGAGCAACACAGCAGAGGAGGCCATTCGGAGCGGCAAATGTCTTTCATGAAACCCAACCTGCTGTTTGAAAGAAATCTGGCCACCTGAACATCTGCCAATCGGAGCAGAGGTGAATTAGCCTGAGAGTTTCGCCAATTGACGTCACAGCAGATAATGCGGTCCAAGGGTGTGAAATTATCTCTGCCCCTATCAGTCAGATATCTGATCACAGCCTGTGCAGTGCTAATCTGGGGTCATCTAACTTGGCAGTGTGCATGCAGGTGTATACTGTATATGCAGGACACATTCATGGCTGTATTCTCTGTTTCACCTTTTCTTAGCACCAGAACTGTGATCATCTTATGGGAAAACGCATATTCATGCATCATTCGGGTTGAGAGCATAATTCCCAGTTCTCCACTGGACGGATTTTCAAATCCGATCAACATAAAAGAAACCAGTTTAAGAATATTGAAATGCACCATTAAGGTCGGTGGTTGCCCTTAGTAGGAGCTGTAAGTAGGGGACCCCTGCCATGCAGCCTCAGAGGTATGATTTAGAAGTGACAGAGTACTCTCAGAGTACATCGCTGTTCTCACTCCCTCCTCCTGGCATACGAGAAGTGTCCACCAGATGGCAGTGTTATGCCTTCGGTGAGGGGGAGCTGTGTGTCTGGAGCAGGAGGGGAGAAGCACAGCCAGACAGACAGCCTGGGAGAGGAAAATCAGAAGGCTGCCTCAGAAGTACAGGGGGTGAGGCCAGACCAGGATGGGTACAGGGCAATAGAGACGTCTGCCAGCATCTTGTGTCAATCGTGGACTGTAATTCTAGCTAACTGATCTCCCCCAGAAAAGCACCGGTGCCATCAACCCCCCCGGCGTGTTCCTGCACTCTCCGTGTGGAAGCACCTCACTTCATGCTGATCACCAGCATGTTGGTTCCGGGCGATCAGTTTGGAGACCTGTGTTTTGTAACGCCGATCGTGAGTCAGAGACATTGGAAATGGGCCGTGTGCACAGACACTCCAGCAGAGAGAGAGAGAGACAGGCAGACACAGACGGACAGGTAGGCACAGAGAGACAGACACAGAGACAAGGAGGGAGACAGACAGGTAGACAAAGACGTAGAGACACAAAGACATAGAGGCAGACACAGAGACACATAATAAACACAGACACTCTGACAGAAACTCAGACACACAGAGAATGACAGGCAGACAGTGACTGACCCACAGAAAGAGATAGACAGACAGAGACAGACACAAAAAGAGAGACAGGCAGACAGAAAGACAGACACACACAGTGAGACAGGCAGACAGAGAGACTGATATAAAGAGAGAGAGGCAGACAGAAAGACAGAAACACACAGAGAGAGACAGGCAGACAGAAACTGACACACAGAGAGAGGCAGGCAGGCAGAGAGGCACACAGAGAGACTGACACAGAGAGACAGGCAGAAAGTTAGAGAGATGGACAGAGAGATAGACAACAGAAACCGCGCAGTTTGGAAACATGCCTATAGCCTCCAGCTCCCCTTTTGTCTGCTCGGTAAACACAACGTTTTTCCTTGAATGTTCCCCTCTGGCTGTGCAGACAGAGCTCCTTGTGTTTCCCTATGGCAACGCGGTGTTGTGTCAGTAAACACCCAGACGGAGAGGTGCTCTCTGCCAGGGCTCTGGGGAAGAGCTGGTCACGGTAGAAGGAGATGTCATTGTCATCTCAGCCTTGGCCGGGCTGCCTCGCCTGCTGTTTTTCCACATCTTGAAGTCAACAGTTCCCCTGAAATCTACCTGATCTCACAGGCCATGAGTCATCGCCCCAGCTGGCATCCAGGGGCCCCAGGCAGTGCAGGTTGACCTGGCAGTGCAGGTTGTTTTGGGCCCTTCCTCTTCCGGCATTGTCAAGGATCTTCCTTCCTTCCCAGGAACGCCGGGCACTGCAAGCACTGGGAACTGGCCAGCCGGTCGACACAGCCCTGGTGTTGATATGGGCTCGGGAGAAGCTGGAAGGTGCCAGGCTGGGAGCTCATCTCCTTCAGGGGGTTAATCCTGCGTTTTAGCAGAAACTAGACCAAAAGCAGACGCAGTGCCAGGCCAAATGTTTTCTTCCACGTCGAGAACTTTTAATGCTGACACAATTCTTGATTTGAATTTTAGCTGCAACTGACATTAATAATGAACAACTTATAAATGTCCATCTGTACTTTTCATTGAAAACAATTTACAGACACTAGGGCCTCAGTCTAACATCTCAACAGATGGACACATTACAGGTAGGCTGATATAACAGCCCTGTATCTTAACCACTGGACCGGCTGTCCTCCTGGTGTGACAG